GTGTGTGTGAGTGTGTGTGTGTGTGTGTGTGTGTGAGTGTGTGTGTGTGTGTGTGTGAGTGTGTGTGAGTGTGTGTGTGTGTGAGTGTGTGAGTGAGTGTGTGAGCGTGTGTGTGTGAGTGTGTGTGTGTGTGAGTGTGTTTGTGTGTGTGGATATTCTCTTCATGGGTGAGAGAGAGAGAGAGAAACATCGATCGGTTGCCTCAACCGGGGGTAGGGTGAGAACCTGCAACCCAGGCACATGCCCTTGGCCTGGAACCCAACCCACGACCCTTCGGTGCCCAGGTGGTCGCTCCAGCCCCACCAGCCAGGGCTCCAGGTCCCCCGATGCTCAGGCATGTCCTCCCTCTCCCGGTGTCGGTCTGAGCGCTCCGCCCCGCCCCGCCGCTCCCCGCCGCTCACGGGGTCCCCCTCTGCCCTCTCTGTCCGGCAGTGAACTTCCCCAAGGTCCTCCAGTGCCTGAACATCACCGTGCTGAACCACGAACGGTGCCAGCAGGCCTACCCGCACCAGATAGACAACACCATGTTCTGCGCCGGCGACGAGGCGGGCAGAGACTCCTGCCAGGTAAGAGCCGGACGTCCGTTCGCTCAGCGGGTCCACGCAGAGTGCCACCTGTGGGGCCTGGGACCCGGATCCCCTGAGCAGCCAGCCACGACCAAATCCGCCAGGACCCCGGTTCTCACCGCCCATCGGAATATAACGGTGTGAGGCATGCCTGTAATTTTAAGTTTTCCATTTTTAAAATATTTTTTTAAAATACATTTTTAAAATATATTTTTATTGATTTCACAGAGGAAGGGAGGGCGAGGGAGAGATAGAAACAGCAATGATGAGAGAGAATCATTGATTGGCTGCCTCTTGCATGCCCCCCACTGGGGATGGAGCCTGCAACACAGGCATGTGCCCTTGACTGGAATCAAACCGGGGACCCTTCAGTCCGCAGGCCAGCGTTCTAGCCACTGAGCCAAACCAGCTAGGGCTAGCAACATTTTTTTAAAGTAAAAAAAAATTAGGTGAAATTAACTATCTTAATAATATGTTATATTTAACCCAATGTGTCTTAATTAATTTCACAATCTCTATATATAAAAGCCTAAGTATAATTTTTTTTTAACCCTCACCTGAGGGAATGCTTTTATTGATTTTTAGAGAGAGAATAAGGGAGAGAGAGAAAGAGAGAAACATCCATTGGTTGCCTCTCATATGCCTCCCGACTGGGGATCGAACCTGCAACCTAGGTATGTGCCCACCACGTTTTGGTGTACAGGACAGTGCCCCAACCACCTGAGCCACCCAGCCAGGACAGCCAGTGCACACGAATTTCTACACTGACCGCAAAGGTGGGTTAGCCACGGTTCACACGCTCACCAGCCCCCGGTAGCGAGTGGCTCCTGTGTAAGACAGCACAGGTCTAGAGAGAGAGGTGAAGTCTGCTTTGTATGGTTGTGCACTGCACAAAGCATTCAGATCTCAAGGGGCACCCTTCCCGTGACCCACTTCACAGTGTAGCCTGTCTTTTAGGGCAAATTTCAAGCAGACGGCAGATAAGTGTCTTGTTCCCACAAAATTTGTAGCATGAAGGTTTTTCAACAAATGCTAGTAAGATGTCTTGAAGAAGGAAAACAGAAGCCCATGCTAGAAGAAGAATGTTAGCCCTGGCCGGTGTGGCTCAGTTGGTTGGGCATCATCCTGTGCACTGAAAGGTTGCCGGTTCAATTCCCAGTCAGGGCACATGCCCAGGTTGGGGGCTCGATCCCCCATAGGGGCCTCACAGGAGCAGCCAGTCGATGTTTGATATTTCTCTCTTTCCTCCTCCCATCCTCTCTAAAAAAAAAAGTCAATAAAATTATATATTTTAAAAAGAACGTTTAATTATAAGACTGATACCAAAGTTATTGAAAGGGCTAGAGGAGCAAAAAGGTTTTTAAAAATGGCCCAAGAAATGGCATACAGAGTCATTTCAGAGACTGGTAAGGGCTATACAGAGAATAAAACATAGCTCTATGATAGCAAGTGATGGGGGCAGCATTCACAATGGTGCTTGGGAGGGCCTCCTGGAAGAGGTGGCATATGAGCAGGGACTGAATGACACCAAGGAGCCAGCCTTGCGAAGGTTAAAGGGCGAGTAAAGCATGTGCAAAGGCCCTGGGGCAGAGAGGAGTTCAGCTGATTCAAAGAACAGAAAGAAGCCAGTGTGTTTGGGGACTGTGTCTGGGGGAATAACGGGGACCAAGTAGGAGTTGAGGCTGGAGAGATGGCTGGGGGGGGGGGGGGGGGGTCAGTGTCCAACAATATTTCTTGATCCCCAACACAGAGTTTCTCTGTGTTCTCATGGAAACTACATCTATTGCGGATGATCGACTTTAAAATTAAACGGATACAGCAATCGGGATCCTTCCCCTGTACTCAGGCCCCCAAGGGTTCTAGTGGAATGGACATTATCAAGCTCTTAACCACCGCCCCCCCCCGCCACTCCCCCCAATTTTACAAACCTCACCATTGCAGCAGCTTTCCAGGTCTCCAATTTCAGTTCTGTTCCCACTTAACAGTAGGAGCATGCACCTCTGCATAGAGGGGTGGGGGTGGGGGTGATCAGAAGAAAACACACCTAGTTTGAATGCCAGCCTTTTAGACCATTTTGGCCAAGCTTGGTGCCTTGTGTTTGGTTGGTTTGGTTTGGTTTGGTTTGGTTTTTTGAGGGGGGCAGGGTTTGTTTGGTTTGGTTTGGTTGTTTTGTTGGGGGTTTTGCAGACGACAAGTTGGCTTTTCATACCAGTGTGCGGGCTTGGCCACTCAAAGCAAGAAATAATAACAACAATATTAATAGGGATAATTTAATAATGGGAGCAGCTAATTGCCTAAGTGGCTCACTTAGTCAGCCTTTGTGCTCATTTAGCTTGTTATTATTGGCTCTCCTTTACAGACCGGGAGCCGCGGCTCAGCGCGCTTAACGAACTGCCGCTCCAAGGGAGCCCTACGGGGATGTTAAGCCAAAAACCATGAGACAAATTAAGCCGCCAGAGAGCTGAAACTTAGAGGTCAGGGGAGCGAAGCTCTTCCGCCTCGAAATGGTGTCTGCTGGCAGGAAAAGAGGCCAGACCATAGGCTTTCTTTGCATCGACGCCAGGCTCTGTGGACTCATTCATAACTTGTAAGCGCATCCATGAGAAAAGGCAGGGAAGAGTGGCGAGTATTATTACAGGAGGGTCATTTCAGCCTCGGCCACCCAAATGAGTCCAAGGGGGCAGGTCTGTCCGCAAAAGAGGCCCCAGACCTCAAGAAAGGTTTTAAAGAGTTTATTTGAGCCAGACCCCAGAGCAAAAATCTCAAAAGATTGAGACATTGGTCCAGGGGATGGTAGGCTGGTGGTTTATTTTATTACTAGAGGCCCGGTGCACGGATTTGTGCACCGGTGGGGGGTCCCTTGGCCTGGCCTGCGGGGATCGGGCCGAAACCAGCTCTCTGACATCCCCCGAGGGGTCCCAGATTGCAAGAGGGTGCAGGCCAGGCCGAGGGCCCCCACCGGTGCACGATTGGGGCCAGGGAGGGACTGCAGGAGGGCTCCAGGGCGTGTCTGGCCCATCTCGCCAGTCAGAGCATCTGCCCCCTGGTGATCAGTGCATGTAATAGCAACTGGTCAGATGGTCGGAGGGACAATTAGCATATTAGGCTTTTATATATATAGATGAGCATCAATGCAGAAGAGGTAAGGAAGGATGCATGATATCCATGGGTGGTGGGTGAAGGAGGCGGGAGAAACCAAAGGGGGGGGGCTGGGAGGTTCTCTAGGATTGGATGCAAAGTCACATGGGGAGATGTATGTTTCTTTTACATGTGGATGCAGGATAGTTAACCGTGAATATACATGGTTACCAAGCTATGCGGGTGAGAGCTAACAATGGGGAATGTTGGGGTCCCCTCCTCCCAGTACCCAAGCATTTATCCTGCAGCCCTGGAGAGGAGCTCGTCGGATAGTTAAGGTTTTGTTATTCCAGATGCACAAAACCCATGGACAGGGCTGGCTCAAGGTAAAGGGCAAACCTGTCGCATAGGATATGCCGTCCTGCATAACACACTCGATTAGCATTTTTCTTTTTTATGATCAGGACACCCTGTGTGGTTGGTTACTTTCAGTTGCTGAGCTCGCCAGACTCGCCAGGGAGCCCCCCCCCCTTTTTATTCACGGTTTTTAACGGGGGCGGGGGGGGGGATTCTGCACCGCCCAGGGGACCTATGGCAATGCCTGGAGATATTTTTGATTGTCAGGGGATTTAGGGGGGAGAGAAAGGAGGGGAACTGCTGGGTTCTAGTGGGTAGAGGCCGAGGATGCTGCTAAACCTCTTACCACACACGGGACAGCCTCTCACGGCGAGGAATTCCCAGGCCCCAGTGTCAACGGGCTGAGAAACTGTCTTCCAAGGACGGAGATTTGCCTCTCAGCAAAAGCGAAGGCTCAGTACAAGTAGCATTGGCGTCAGGGGAGGGTCAAGAGCGAGGAAGGGAGAGAAAGGAGTGTCCGGCTGGAGACACAGAGAGGAGAGACACAGTGAGAGATGCAACGGGAGAGACAGACAGTGGAGAGGGTGGGGTTGGGTCGAGAGGGACAGAAGACGGGTGTAGGGTGGACTGTTAACATTCTCTCTCTCTGTCTCTCTCTGCGTCCCTTCGTCTATCCACGTTTTCCCATCTCTGTGTCTCTCGATGCTCCGCCCCTCCCTCACCTGTGTCTCCCTCTCCCCACCTCCCCACGTCTCTGCTTCTCTCTGTGCCTCCCCTTCTCCCCGCAGGGTGATTCCGGGGGCCCCGTGGTCTGCAACGGCACCCTACAGGGCCTGGTGTCCTGGGGGGACGTCCCCTGTGCTCAACCCGACAAGCCCGGGGTCTACACCAACCTCTGCATGTTCACCAAGTGGATCCGGGACACCATACGGGCCAACTCATGAGTCATCCCAGGCCCCGGCGTGCAGGAGACCCCCACACCCTGCACGTCCTCACCGGTGCAGGGACCTGACACTCCTTCCAGACACCCCCCCCTACAGCTTCCCGAGGATGCTGAGCATGTAACGTCCAGCCCCCCGAGTTACCAGGGCCTCCCTCCCCTGACAGTGGACCGGTCCTATCTCTGCAGTTGGCTCCCGGGGGCGTGTCCTCCAAAGGCCAGAAATAAAGCGCCCAAGGAGAAGTGGACTCTGTGTGTGGTCTTCTCGCCCCGCACTCCCTGGACCCCGGGCAGGGCAGCCCCTCCCTACCACAGGGCTGCCTCTGGGAGGTTATTTCTGATGAAGACACGGGTCCACTCCAGCTGCTTCCCATGTTCTTCCCAATATTGAATGAGTGTCTGACCATCGGGTGCCGGGAACTGTCCCAGGGGCTGGGGACACCTCAATGGGCAAAACACAGAAAAACAATTCCTGCCCCTTGGAGCTCACGCTCCAGGCAAAGAAGGCAGAGAATCAGGAGACGGACAAACACATTAGATAGGATTGCGATTAAATGACCCGAATCAAATGAGAACGGGGCACAAGGAAAGAGAGGGAGGTTGTGGGGAGGGGGCTGTTTATATTAGACTAGAGGCCCAGTGCACGAAATCTGTGCACTGGGTCAGGGGAGGGTCCCTCAGCCCTGCCTGAGCCCTCTCACAGTCCAGGACCCCTCGGGGGATGTCCGACTGCCAGTTTAGGCCCGATGCCACAGGAGATCTGGCCTAAACCGGCAGTCAGACATTCCTCTCACAATCCAGGACCGCTGCCTCCTAACTGCTCGCCTGCCTGCCTGCCTCATTGCCCCTAACCACTTGTCTGGCTGCCTCATCACCCCTAGCTGCTCGCCTGCCTGCCTGATTGCCCCTAGCCACTTATCTGCCTGTCTGATCACCCCAACTGCTTGCCTGCCTGCCTGATCTCCCCTAACCACTCATCTGCCTGCCTGATTGCCCCTAACCACCTCTGCCTTGGCCCCCACTGCAGGAGTTTCGTCCGGAATGATGTCTGGGAGGTTGTTCAGCTGTCCGGTCTAATTAGCATATTATGCTTTTCTTATTATAGATGGTCATGTCCTAAACCCTCTAAACCCTGGAGCCTGTGAATACGTGACCATGTAGGGCAAAGGGACTTTGCGGGTGTGATTATGCGAAGGGTCTTCAGATAGAAGTATTGTCCTGGGTTCTCTGGGCGGGACCAAGGTACTCCCAGGGATCCTCAAAGGAGGGCATGGGGGTCAGAATGAGAGATTCGATGATGCTAAGAGCTGGTTTGGATGAAGGCAGAGCCGGGGCCTGGGAGTGCAGGCGGCAATGAACACCCCCCGCCTCCCCGCAACCCCGCCAGCGCCCCAGGGCCCCGGCTGCCTCCCAAAGTCTTGACTGTCGCCCACCTAGGCCCATGTGGGACGTCCGACCCTGAGAGCTGTACGAGAATAAACATGTGTTGTTTGAAGCCTCTAGCCGTGTGGTCACTTGTCATAGCAGCCCTGGGACCCTAGTGGGTGGCATTTGCTCTGAGACCTGCAGGGTGACACGTGACGACCCCCACTGGTTGTCTGGGGGCCTGGGGTTCCAGGCCCAGAGGAGGACAAGGGCAGAGGGTCAGAGGTGAGGACAGGCTGGGCATGTCCCTGTCAAAGGCAAACACAGAGACCGGCCTGAACAAACAAAACCAGTTTAGCTACGTTCTGCATGAAGAACTAGAAATGTGTTTGTCTAGAGATGGATTTACAGGAATATCACACATTTACATAAATAAAATCACACCGCAGCCCTGGCCGTGTGGCTCAGTTGGTTGGAGCATCATCCCACACACCCGAAAGGTGGCAGGTTCGATTCCCGAGATCAGGGCACGTTCCTAGGTTGTGGGTTTGATCCCCAGTTGGGGCACATACGGGAGGCAGCTGATGAATGTGTCTCTCTCACATCGATGTTTCTCCCTCTCTCCCTTTCTCTAAAAATTGATAAAACGTATCCTCAGGTGACGATTTAAATTTTAAAAAATCACACACATTTGGTCCGTTCAATATTCTATCTGTGTGGCTCCTCCAGGTTTTTGTCTATAGTTGAAAGACACCTCACCTCATCACTATTGTGTAAATGCCCTCCAATTGGCTTAACAATGTGGATTGTGAATCTGGCCCTTTTTTAAAAAAATATATTTTATTGATTTTTTACAGAGAGGAAGGGAGAGAGATAGAGAGTTAGAAGCATCGATCAGCTGCCTCCTGCACATCCCCCACTGGGGAAGTGCCCACAACCCAGGCATGTGCCCCTGACCGGAATCGAACCTGGAACCTTTCAGTCTGCAGGCCGACGCTCTATCCACTGAGCCAAACCGGTTTCGGCGTGAATCTGGCCCTTTTAAAGGTAATGTGTTGGTGGATCATTTGCTAAAATTATGATGAAGAGGGTGGGAGACAGCCCGACCGGCCGGCGTGTCTCAGTGGTTGAGCATCGACCTATGAACCAGGAGGTCAGAGTTCCATTCCCAGTCGGGGCATGTGCCCAGGTCGCCGGCTCAATCCCCAGTGTGGGGCGTGCAGGAGGCAGCCGATCCATGATTCTCTCTCACCATTGATGTTTCTGTCTCTCTAGCCTTCTCCCTGCCTCTCTGAAATCAACAAAAAATTAAAAAAAAAAAAATAAGAACAGTGTAGGGCAGTGGTCGGCAAACTGCGGCTCGGAACGAACGCATTAGGTTCTCTTGTGAAATCGTAAATGGGGAGAAGCAGTGAGCTTGTCTCTCTGCTCCATCCTTCTGCTTCTTCCTCCTGATGGCAGAGCCCAGACGCACACGGGTCGACCTTAGGCTGAAGAGCGAGCGGGATATGGGGAGGGAGGCCTGTGAGCCAGGAGGTCGAGGGTGGTGGCCGAGTCCGACTCAGCACAGGGCAAGTTGGGCAAAACTGAGGTGCAGTTATCATCCTGTCCCAATGCATTGCCCCCTGAGGCCAACTGTTCCTCCAGGTGGCCCGTGACCCAGATAAAGACCCTCTCCCCCGACCCCCCACCCCACACACACACCTGGGCTGCCACCTGAGCTGGTTCTCAGCCGTAAGCTATAAGCTGGAACCTAGTGGCTGGATTTTCCTCGGGAGTTTTTGTTTTGCTGAGAAAAGGGAGGGCCTGTGCTTGGACCTCCCCCTTCTTCTCACCCAGAATGTGGGTGCCCAGATGTGGGCCAAGCATCTTTTTTAAAAAATATATATTTTTATTGATTTTTTAAGGACAGGAAGGGAGAGGGATAGAGAGTTAGAACCACCGATGAGAGAGAAACATAGATCAGCTGCCTCCTGCACACTCCTTACTGGGGATGCGCCCGCAACCAAGGTACATGCCCTTGACCGGAATCGAACCTGGGACCCTTGAGTCTGCAGGCTGACGCTCTATCCACTGAGCCAAACCGGTTAGGGCTGGGCCAAGCATCTTGCATCCTGAAGACGACAACCACAGGATAAAGATGGGATCACACAGGCTTTACCCAGGTTGGCTCAGTGGATAGAGCGTCAGCCTGCGGACCAAAGGGTCCCGGGTTCGATCCCGGTCAAGGACACGTACCTTGGTTGCAGGCTCTTCCCCAGCCTGGGCCCCTGTCAGGGCATGTGCAGGAGGCAACCAATCAATGTGTCTCTCTCACATCGATATCTCTCTCTTTCCTTCCCTCTCTTTTCCATTTTCTCTAAAAATCAGTGGGAAAATATCCTCTGGTGATATCCTCAGGTGAGGATTCACAAAACAAGCCAAAAAAAAAAAAAAAAAGGTTGGCACCACAGGAAGTAAGAGGAAGCCCGAGTTTTGGGCGACTTGCTTTACTAAGCACCTGGGCTGGAAACAGAGCCAAACCTCAAGGATCTGGCTATGGCCGGCCGTTGGCTTTCATGGCTGATACGGAGGAGAAGGTAGGGAAACTGGGTTTCCAGGGTTCTGGGGAGGTCTGACTTCCTCCCCCCGCCTGTGTCTCCTCCAGGACGGAGGCTGGCCCGGGAAGGCGGAGGGGACGGAGGCCCGGGAACGGACTCTGCGAAGGGTGGGGAGGATCTGTGTGTTTCCTGCACGGGTGATGCAACTGGTAGAAAACAGGACTGCAGTGGTGCAAGACACCCGCTTCTTGCCCCATGAGATGTGAAGACGTGCTACAAAGCACAACTCACAGATCTAAAAAAAAAAAAAGTGTGGTTCGAATGCCAGGACAGACAGCTGGATCGGTGATACAGAGGGGAGCAGGCCCCGGCCGGGTGGCTCCACTGGTTGGAGCGTCATCCTGTGTGTGCACCAAGAAAAGGTGACAGGTTCGAATCCGGTCAGGGCACATACCCAGCAGGGAGTGTGCAGGAGGCAGCTGGTTGATGTTTCTCTCTCATCGATGTTTCTAACTCTCCCTCTCCCTCCCTCTCTGAAGTCAAGAAAAACATATATTAAAAAACAACAACCCACGTGGGGCCCCTTCTTTTTCCCCTTCTGTGGTAGACTTTAAGAATCCCCAAAACACCTATTCGGAAAAATACATGCACCCCTATGTTCATAGCAGCGTAATTTAGAATCGCTAAGATCTGGAAACAGCCCAAGTGCCCACCCGTAGATGAGTGGATAGAAGAGCTGTGGTACATGTACACCAGGGAATACTACGCAGCCGTATAAAAAAAGGATCTCTTACCCTTCGAAACAGCGTGGAGGGAACTGCAGCTCTTATGCTAAATGAAATAAGCCAGTCAGAGAAAGACAAGTATCATGTGGTCTCACTCATATGTGGAATCTAATGAACAAAATAAACGGACAAACAAAATAGGCCCAAAGGCATGGATGCCTGGAACGGGCTGACAGATCTCAGTGGGAATGGGGGGTGGGAGGGGGCAGAGGAGGGACAGGAAAAGATTAACAAAAAACATTATATGCCTCTACAGACAATAGTGTGTGGGGAAGGCCGGGGTGTGGCCGTGGGCTGGGTAAAGGGGGACACAGGGGTGACCATAGGAGACATCGGTAATACTGTCAACGACAAAAGTAAAATTAAAAAATTAAGAATTGAGGTGAAAGGAACCGTTCATGGGTATTTGTCAGAGTGGGAGAAGTTGTCCGTCGCGTGAAAGTGGACGAGGGACTAGAACCTACGAGATGCAAGAAGCACCTGTGGGTGAAAAAGAAAAAAGGTGGACCCCCTTGTGGGGAAGTGGGTAGAGGACACGAACAGGCGGCTGGCA